GGGGATCCGGGCTCGGCCGCCGCACGCTTCGGGGAGCAGGTAGCACACACCAGGTGCGCGGCGGAACATGGACTGTCTCCTGCTGGTCGTCTGGACTTTACCTGTTGCGATTCTGAGCGGCAGCTCTATGCAATTCCCGACCCTCCCGTGGCTTGGAAGCACTGTAAAGGCAGGTCGAGAGCACTTTCTTTTGCAGTCGCCTAGTGTACTTTGATACCAGGTTACTGCACAGTTTCTGGTGCCTTGTCTTTCTGCCCTCCCTTATCAAGTAAATATCGCCCAATACTCCTTTTTTCTCTCTCTCTCTTTTTTTTTCTCTCTTGCAGACCCTTCAGCTGTGCTGCCTCTGTTGCATGTCTCATGCAGCAACTTTAACCAGTGACAGCATCAGTGAACTGAATCATGGTTTGTATAGCTCTTTCTGTATCTCTGAATATGAACATTTGCATGGATGCTTTTTTTTTTGGTGGACTGAGCATTTAAAGGGAAGAAGCCACAGTGTTCAGGGAACATAAAGTGAAAACAAGTTGGCTGCTGTTTAAAATAGCTAACTACGGGCAGAGATTAACTTGTTAAGCCCTGTGTGCTAAAGCTAAAAGGAATGATATGTAACAGCAAAGCAAATGAATGAGATGGAAAATACATCCATGTATAGGCGTGCGATTAGAAGGATGAATGTGTATGTAGCCACAACAACAAAGCTTCATGTGTCTGTTATGGAAGCAATGAGACAAAAGTAATGAAAAGATTTGGGTGGGAGAGCAGAAGAAGCTGTGCAATGCAAGCTAAGGGAAAACAAAACTGGAGAGAAAGGACTCGTGTGAGTGAGAACTCAGGAGCTGTTTGTTCCCAGGTTGCAGAGACTAACACTTAGATGCTGATGACTCTGGGAAGTTTGAAGTGCAGTATGTGCTTTTTATTGGGTGCGACTGGAAACAAAGTACAATAGAGAAACGCACCAGGGTGCAGAAAGGAAAACCCTCTTGTACCCTATCATCTGCTCGCTGGGGGATTCCCTCTCTCCAGCAGCTGCTTGCATTTTTTGGCCACCAGCCTGCTTAGTGTCTTCAACTTCTGCCGTTGATTAACAGCACTTGAGGAAAGTGAAAGTTCTTGATGCATTGTTTCCACTGTCTAAGGAAAAACGACCTGTCACTGGTTATGTTTTCAGCTTAATGTGTGTTCAATAAAGTCTATTCAGGCAAAGAGATTGACGGTTTTTGCAACATCTGTTGCAACCCAGGAAGGAGGAGTTCTTCTTTTTTAATGGTGTTATTTCAATTTAGGAAGAGAAATGAGTTGTTTTACTGTCAAATGCATGGACATCTTTAAGTATTCACAGAGAACTACAGCTCAAAAATGAAATAGGGTTGGGGAGCAGTTTATTCAGCATAATTACTTCTATAACCAGGAATAGGTGCAAAGGTCCTAGTTCAGCAAACAGCTGAAATTCAGACCCAGCTTCCAGGACACAAGTGGTGTCTGTGTGGCTAGATCAACAGCAATGGTCAGGTACTTCATGCTAGGCGTCTGCTTATGCAGGTAGTTGAATCATGGCCTCTGTTTTTTCCTTTCTGAGGTGGTTGTGAGTAGATCTTATTCTTCTCCTCACAAATAGTTTTGTAATTTTTCACATATTTTATCCAAAACAATAAACTTCTTTGACATGCAATTAGCAATGGCTGACTAAAGGTTATTAGGTAGGATGTAATCTCTTTCTGCTGAAGGTCAGTTACAATTTGAAACCCAGTCTAATCAAGTCACTACAAAGAGATGAGGTCTCACTCAGTTAAGGCATTAATAAATTAATCCTTTAATCCATTTGAACAAATGGTACAGTTCTACAAAGTCTCAGTCACGGTTACTCCTACAGTGATATAATATTTGCTACATTCTTAGGGAAGGAAAAAAACTCTCAAACCAGAGCGGCCTTCACATTTGACAGCAATTAATACAGGGGGAGGGGAAAATCTACAGATCTGCTGGTGATGACAAATGTCTTCAGAAGAGCGATTGTGGGAATGTTCACAGCTATGCTACTTAGTCTGTACCTCTCAGTGGGGCAGTAAGGAAACAAACAGTGTTTGAGAGCCTGTGGGACTTCCAGGGGTGAATTTATACAGTCGAGCCTATACACACATATCCTGCAGAGCTTCCAGGCCATTCCCTAACTGAGGGAATGCTTCATGCCATAGTGAAAGCCTGATGCTTACTGTGTTAGAATGATGCTTACCTTATTTGTTGGATAAAAAAGCTGATGGCTAACTATTTATCATTACAGATTATGTATTTGTGACACCTGTCAAAGTGGATTCCAGTGGATCATATATTTCACATGATGTTTTGCACAGTACTAGGAGAAAGAGATCAGCTCAGAGTTCAAAGAGTTCCTTGCACTACAAATTTTCAGCATTTGGACAGGAACTTCACTTAGAACTTAAACCTTCGACCATTTTAAGCAACAGTTTTATTGTCCAGGTACTCGGGAAAGATGGAGTCTCAAATTCTCAGGAACATGAAGTTGAGCAGTGTTTCTACCAGGGATTTATAAGGAATGATAGCACCTCTTCAGTAGCAATATCTACATGTGTAGGCTTGGTAAGTGTTTATTTAAAACATATCAGCATGAAAAATATTTTCATACATGGAATAGTAGCTGAAGGTATGTAATTCATATGATATTCAGGATACCATACACCATTTGATGATTTTTCTAATACCTGGTTCCCTAATTCCCTGGTTGCTATTGCATTCAACAGAAGAGGTTTAGGTATAGCCGGTGAACTGCATCACACCCTTTCTATTTTTTTATCATGGTCTTTTAGGAAAAAAACAGAAGACTGGCTGGTAGTCTTAGTAATTACCGCATAGCAATTTTAATTTGTTGTGGTTTGTGATGGTTTATAGAATTTTCTTGCTCTTAAGTAAATGCTCTTGCTGCCTTTGTGAACTACTATGAATAAAGAAAAAAAAAACCCAAACAATCCATAAGCTTATGAGAAAAAAAATCATACCTAGGTTTGTCAACTGCTTTTAGGAAGGGTGAATTTCCTAGCTCAGCAGGAGTTATGAACCAATTTCTCTTTGTTTTGTTTGACAATTCCAGCCTGATTTGTGTTTATAAGTCTTGATTAGTTGATCTCTTAAGAATGTGTTAAATATTATCATTGCATATTTTCCATTTATGGCTGTCATACAAGTTAATGAAAAATTATTACTCACTAATGATTTTTTTCGAAATACATTTGACAGTGCTCATTGCCTGCAGAGAAGTCTTTACTGATGTAATTCAGAAGAATCATCTACAGATTTAATAGTTAGTGATATTTTTTAGGCTTAAGTCCTTGCACTTGCAAAACAATCTCCTATGGATGCAGATTAAAGCAGTGACATTTAATAGTGTTAGGTATAGGAAGCCATCTGTATGCTTTGTGGTCGACTAAGGTCCAGAGGATATGCTGGGTCACCCTTTAGAAATCTGTTTTGCAAAGGTACTTGTCCATAAGGGCTATTAAACTGTGTGAGCGGACCAAAAAAGGAGCACTTGAGACACCCAGCATTTCCTTTGAAACAGTAATCAGTGACTGGAGAAGTGGGTGGTTCATTAGGAAGAGCTGTTGAATGCTGATAACTGGCTGAAGTAGTCTGGATTATATTTTGAATGCTCTACTTTTTTTCTCAGCCAGTTAGAGGAGTTAGTTCACTTGAACAGTTGCAAATATGACTTTGGAGCAGGTGCCAGGATCTGGAACGAAGCTTTCTTTTGTTTTTTTGGGGTTTTTTTTTTGTTGTTGTTTGTTTGTTTTTTTTGGTTTTTTTTTTTTAATTGTGTTTGTAGTGCTGAACTGTTAATAACAGATATGCTTAGTTGTTTCTGTGGAAGCTTCCTTTTCACAACTGCTAGCTTTTACCATATTTATTCAGAAAAAAAAAAAAAGCTGTTTTCACTTGTTGGAGCGTTTGTCTGTTCCTCTAAAATAAGTGCTCTACCTACATACAACAGTTGCAGTTTGGGTGATCTCCCCTGTTTGGTCACGTTTTATTTTTTAACATGCTTTATGAGCTGAGTGAAGCTGGGCTTGTCAAGTCTTGTCTAGAGAAGGAAGGTTCAAGTCTGCCTCAGGTCACAGAGAAACAGAATGTGGTGATCTTAACTGAGACTGAAATGGATCTTTTACTGCTGTCTCGACATAGAGATTGTTATGACTAGTAAGATTCACTTAGAAAAGATCCAGCAACTGATCAAAAGAGAATAAATATTGTGGTATGAACAAAATTATTATGGCACAATCTTTTTCAGTACCTAGGTTATCACCAATTAGAATCTCTCTTTAATCAGTTCCAAGGTTCAACAGGTTTCACCTGAAATTGTTATTTTAAACTGGTAAATGAAGTAAACCTTTACTTATAATAATCTCCTGCTGAGTAGCTATCACAAATGAAGTGCAATTGTTCCTTTCTCCCTATCTGTTGTAGTGCACCTAATGAATCCCAGGCAAATTATCAACAGGATTTTTAGTCTTTAGGTTTGCAAGGCTGCCTTCTTAAAAATGTGTCGTCAGCTGTCTGTAATAACAACCACGTCATTTTTTACTGTGATCCAAATTCAGTAATCATCTGTTAAGTCTGGACGCTGTGCTCTGATCAAGAGAACCTTGTGAATAGCTTCTATATCCTCTTTGCACCGACTACTTTTGTCACTTGGTTGCCCTTCTTTCCTATTTGCTTTGTTCACTGCAATTAAACCGAAAGTGGTGTTTCTTCTATATGGTTGGTAGCACTAATCTTTCCATTGTTCCTTTCATTAGCAATAGCTTCTCCACAATACAACTGCAATGACCCATTCTTTCAAGCCTGGAACACCACAATGTGATTTGGAAGCAATTGCATTTCAATAGACTACAGGGACTCTTTGATCTAATTTTTTGGATGACCTAGAGTATTCAGTCATTCAGCTGTCTGTTATCTGCCATTGCCTGCAGAGTAGACTTTGGAGAGAGTCTATATGAAATGGTTTGTTAGGCAGGATGACCTTAGCTTAACACTGGAAAGAAGCAACAATTTGTTGCTTTGGTATAGATCTATTAAGAGATGTGTGTATCTTACTCATGTTTTAATAGCTTATTTGACAGTAAGGCCCCACATTTTTATGCTGATTTCTTGGGTCGAGACCAAATCTTTCCATCAGTCAACACAATTTGCTTGCTGTGTCAGAAGGCAAAACTGTATCTATGTTTTTTATCTGAATAAGTACTCTAATACATCAAGCTAGCATTTTAGGAGAATGTGTACAGGTTTACTATAAGTACTGTCTCTTGCTTTTTCATCATCAAAGTGTTTAGGTGCTTTGATTTTCAACAGGAAACTTGCCTTCTTCTGTCTTCTGCCCTCTCCTGCTTCAGTCAGCATCCTTTACTTGCTGGAGCATCTGTCATACAGCAAGAAAGATGTGATTTTATTTTATTTTTAAAATGAAATTAGCTTGTATGCAAGCAGTCTTGTTTAGATCTTCCTAAGTGTCTGTCTCACCATCAGGTATTGAGTAGAAGCATCATACTTAGTGATAAAAGAGTACGACAGATGTATTAAAATTCAGCCATATGTTGTACATCGTACAGATCTGCTCAGTCATTTTGTCAAAAATGCTCAAAAGATGGATGTACTTTGTACACATTCAGAAAAATGTATTCTGAACTATCTGTGGAGAATAAGATACATTCCTTCCAAAGAAACTGTGATTTTTTTTTCATTCTCATGTATTTTATTAATACATTCTCACTCTCAGGGGTGGGGGTTTTTTAACTCTTACAACTTCAGGTCAATGAGTTCATTTGCGTTAGTAAATACAAAACTAGTCGCTCTCTTTGGTGTCATCTAATGTGGCCCAAATAGAAATTAATGCAAAATTTTCAACTCCTTTCTCCGCCAATTCATTATTACTTTTAATGAAACTCTTCTATTACTCCAGCATGACTTCTTGGAGTTTTCTTCAATCCCATGTGCTCTCCCAATTGACATATCTGGGCTTTGTCTGGCTGCTTCATCCTCTGTTTATGTTCTCCAATTCAAGCTGTTCATTCTTCTCAAATTCAGTTTTTTTTCCAAACTTCTTACTTGAGCTAATTCTTACTTATTCTAATTATATGTTTTTATTACAATTATTATTTAGTAATATATTATTACTTATAATTGCCTTTAGCTATTTAATTGGGAGGCAGACTATGCCAAATCCACAGAATGCAGGGTTTTTTCAGGTTTTCTGAAGGAGATGGTGCTGGCCACTGTTAGAATAAGAAATTGTTTTTAGGACTTACTCAGTGTGGCTGTATCTGAATTCCTACCTCGTTCCTCTTGCCCCCTTGCCTGTCCACATCCAAATGTTGTGCTATCTCATCTGCATTAAAAACACATATCTGTTGTAGGTTCACCATCTTTAACTCCACTTTCATGATGACATTGTTTCTAAAAGCCTTACTGCTGTCTTCCCAGTCTGTGTATACAACTGTGTGTTGTTTGTCTCTATACGTTAGTTTTTGTCTCCTTTCTGTCTATTCCTTATGTGTTGCTTATGTTAGGTCAATGTATACATAATCTCTCCTATAAAGTGAGTTGTTTGCAGTCACACAGTAAGTCAGGGCAGAATAGAAGAGAACCCCAGAGCTGTCCGTAGTCCAGTTGTGTTCTCGAAACATTCTCAGAAGTAATTTATAACTGTGTTTAGGAGCAGAAGTCATATTCCCCTTGTGAACAAGAACTCTCTCTTACAAAGTCAAACAAGTTTACACAATAGTCTAATACACAATGTGGAAAATAGTGAACATCATGAATGAGTAGTTTATTATATAGCATTTGTGAGGATGTTGCTGGTATTTGGTGGAAGAGACAGGTGAGGGTATATAGCAAGGACAAAACATGTGCACCCAGAGGAAAGAAACGTAGAGTCAACATAAGGAACTCTCCAACTATTGCAGCACAGAGGAGACAAGCATATGGGTTTTCGGTCAGACAGAAAATCAGTACAGTTCAGTGGAACAGTTCAGGTCCTTTGTATGACACAGTTTTATTGTTCAGGCCAAACTCGGCCCTAAGCAAAAGCGCTTGCATGGCGGCCTGAGAGGCTGCACCTGCTTATGCTAGAAGTGAATGTGGGCCATTCTCTCCCTTTTATTTGTGTACCTCAATTAGAAGAGTGGAGTCAGCTTCATGCACTAGCTAGTGCCCTCCTTTGTTTTTGGTAAGATGTGATTGAATCTTTCATTATAAGGGGCCTCTTTCTCTTGTCTCAAGTTCTGTTATGTTTGTTAGTGTCTAGTCAAGGGAAGAGAAGGAGGAGGGAAGGATGAATCATGTTACACTCGCTGAGCTGTCAGAGGAGTCTACAACCAGAGAAAGGGTTAGATGTAGCACTGAGAGATAAACAGGAGATGTATTAATTCAATGGAAGTTGTGTGTGCATGTCTGAGGGCAGGACTTTGCTCAAAGTATCAAAGAAGCCACAAAATTAAAGCTTCTTAACGCAGTCTGGCCACCTAAGAGGCAGGCAAGGCAACTCATGTACCCATTCTTTGTAGTCATGTAATTGCACTCTGTATTAGGAT